AACAATCCACGAATCTCCAAGTTAAAGTGCACATAATCTGTGCTGAGTTGTTACATTCGTTGCCTTAAATTCAAAAGTATGTGTCTGTATAAAACTCTCAATTTCTGCTATGAACACATTAAGTATGTCTTTACTCATTAAAATACTGTTTTATGATAATAAAATGCAGAGTCTACATCATTAAATTGTAGGCAAACTCTAACATTTGAAAAAGCAAATGAGACCTGAAGATATGCTATTTCACAAGAACTGCAACACGTCTGATAACAAAATGGAACACAGGCCAGCTGTCAATTCCTGCATATACACATATATAAAAATGATGTCAATTTTCATAAAAATGGTCTTCACATCTATTAATGTACTATTCCTTCTTTAGAATGTAGATACCACCACAGATAATCAAAATGTCAGGGTTTTTTCTCCATTTTTCCATTCCTGTTTCAATACCACAGTGTCACTAATATGTTAACCAGTACCAACTTTACTGACTTGACGTAGTCCCATTTCAGATGTACCATAACTAATACTGCCGATGTCTCTTGAAGCATCACCAAAAATAATAATTGTACTTCTTAAATTAGGCACTTGCCAAAATTACACACTATCCAAAATTTCTTCCTCTCCAAGAGCTACAGAGCTACATCTGGCATTTCAGCCCTTTCTTTTATGGCCGGTTACATGTCTTAACTCCTTTATTGATCCCAAAATGTGGATACCAGCAGATCTGACTGACCACAGAGGCAGCATGAGGGCAAAAACCACACATAATCCAGTTGTTTCACAACTGATAAAGATAGCCATCTTCAGATGATAACTTCATTTCTTTTTAAAGCTGCAACATTTTAAATACCCAGACATGTCGTTCACTTAATGGCAGAAAATGCTGCAATGGATTCTAGAAGCCTTCGATTACATCATACACTTCCAAAGTGGCCAAGATCAAGTAAACCATCCACAAAGAGATGAGCAGTAAAGACGTAACATACTTTAAAAGTTTTGGACCTCCAAGTTCACCACCTACCACTTTTGACCTTCTTAGCATTAATATAAATATGGCAACTAAGGCTTCTGAGCAGAAAATTGTGACGTTGAATGCCAGGCTGAAAAGAAATTCAACATAATGTTTCTTTTTGTTCTGCAGAATACTTGCAGTAATAAATGAGAAGAAAAGCTGAAAAGAGATTCATGTACATCTTATGGCATGAGTACCTTTAAATGTAAGCAAGTATACACACACATGCAGAAAGACAGCAAAATATCAATGTTACACCATCAGATACAATTCTATTACGTAAACATCAAATACTGCATATTTCCTTTCATGTTTTAGCCTACATAGCACCTGAAGATGTCCTGTGAGGGCAAAAACGTTTAACACAATAAGCAACATTTAATGTGCATATACTAAAGTTGTATTTGGTGGTTTAAAGGTAAATTTATTTAATTGATAGAACAGTATGAACCATAAATATCAGTCTCAAGGAGCAGTCAATTTAGAAGTGAATATTTCTGTATTTTATTCAGTACTACAATTTATGCTGAACCATATAAAATCTGACTACTTGATCATCATGACAATTCACTTTCTGAATGAATAAAACAAAAAATAATACTCTTCATTTGACACATTACGAAAAGTCATTAATAATGGTGTTGGGAATTTCTAATAATGTACATGCATGTAAACTGAAAGATAAGAGGTACTGGTAAGATTAAAGTATCATATTATAAGGGCCTATTTCAAGTAATGACACACAATGGCACCACTAAAATTTCCATCTTTGGCTTTTACGAAGGAAGAAATCTAAATAAAGATTAAAACAAATGACTGGTTTTACACCATCATAAATGTTTAAAAATTTGATATGAAAGTCATTCATAAAATATCCTTTACAGACTGTACAAAGTACAATAATATCTTTCTTTAAAAATAAGTGAATTCTGTTGTTTCCTCTGCCTGTTCTAAATGTCCAAGCTGCTATGATCATTATCATCTCCAATTTTTATAATATATGCAACTGTAAAGTATCTACTCCTTAAGCTCTGTTCTCTATAAAACCATACTCACTTTCCAGGTTGCACCAGAAACTTTTTGCCTTTAATAGCATGGTATATGGCGGCAATAGACCATGCAATACCAATACCCAGGAACACGTTAACCGCATTACTCCCAGTTACATTACCAACTGAGGCATCTGCATACTTGTCCTGGATAGCTGCCACCTTGCTGGCAAATGTGTCTATGAAGAGAGGGAGACACTTATAACCATATGGCACACACAATATGCATGCACTATTATTAATCTGTAATTTTTTTTAATTTTTAAAACTTATAGTATTGATTATGTCCTTCGGCATCATTCAGTATGAAGGCAGATTCCAGAAGAGATATTTTTATTGGTAATTTCGTCATAAATTGAAGGTTACAATTCAAACATTTCTTAACATTATTATTTTGTAAATGAGATTTAATAAAATTTCTATACAAACATCTATTCCTGTATGAACATAAGACATCATATTTGTAAGGGTTAAACAATTTTATGGAAATAACTTCTCATCCAAAATCTTCACCATTATTTCTTTTAAGTTACTGGGTATTTCCAGGTAAATTATTTCTTTTGCAATAATCAAATAATTCTGATGTTAAGGTAGATATAATACAATATACATACAAATGCAAAATTTTGCTATTCAATGGTTACTCTATTTTGCTTATGTTGAGAGTAGCCAATGGTGAATTAACTGTCATAAAATAACAGGACCATGGTTTCTGAGCACATCATATCTTCTTTTTATGTTATTCTTTGGTGATATTTTTATCATAAATATTCTTTCATAAACATAATATACATATCTGCATCACACTGAATCTGCCATTTCAGTTTGGACACCTTTTCAAGTAATTTATTTTTCTTATTTTCACACACATTTCTTTCTTTTAAATTATTAATATATTTTGTAGAATCCTATGTTCAATAATGGTAACACAGTTCCAACATACACATCATAATCATGAATTTTGTAAGATTATATGTCATTATGGCCTGTTCTAAAGTGGTAAATTGTGACCAACACACATCTGATGCAAGAGGCACTAAAGATAAAAATAATTGACATCACATCTAAAATAATATTATTTTGATACTACTGTAATGTACTGTGTCAGGGTGATCTAATATAATTCAGTAGACTTTACTCACACTGAAAAGACTTAGACATGATCAGCTACAAAATGCTATCTTAACCCAATTTATAAAGGTTTTGAGCCACACACAGTAAGTTTTCTGAACTGAACAGCCATGAAGCAAACTAATGCATTATGGGTTGGCCTAAATTGACAGTAGAAGCATGTCACACCTCCATGAAAACTGACGACATATAAGACTGCTTTTGTAATTCCTTTGAATATGATTTACATATTTATAGAACTGAAGTGCAAATATTTCATGTTCAGAACACTGATTGACTGATTAGGCCTGCATTAAAGAGAACACATTTCAGAAAGACAATATCACACACACAAAAAAACATGCCACATGTTGTACAGTTAAAAACGAAGAAATAAAATTTATAACTGGAGTTAAAAAAGAACATAACCACCATTAAATGCAGTAAGACACACCATAATTGGAAGCTCTTATTTAAACAAACACTACATTCAACTGCAGTTAAGTTTACTCCCATACAAAAGCAACAAATCAAATGAATTATTAAAATAAACAGTGGCCAGCTCAGTTAGTACTAACCACTCTATTATACAACAGAATACTACTGGATGGAAAGTATGAAATAGTTCATACTATCCTAAACAAAAGTGCAGAATCTGCTACAAAACAAAACACTGATAATTTTGTAAACAGTTGATATAAACATTTACCACATATTTCATGAATTTATGAACAAATTTCTTACAGAAACTCTCATTTGCTCACCACAGCACACTACAAACATTTAAAATACATATAATTATTTCAGTTCTGTGAGTGTGTTAATTTCAAAGCTGTTTCCATTTAAACCTCCATTATTAAATATAACTGCAGTGTTAAAAGTAAATTAATGCCACAAAATGTGAAAATATGGTATATGGATAACAAATTCTGATCCTTGTTAGTAAGCATTAGTATGGCTCTTTAAACACAAAATGGTTGCAGGAAATATGACCGTCTATACCTGGGAGACTTGTACCCATTGCTACAAAACCAATAGCTGTGACAGAATCCTTCATGTTGACAGAGCAGCCAAAATGAGAGGCAACATCACCAATAAGAGCTGTCAGGAATCCTATCCATACAATGGATACGGCAAAACACACGTACCCCTGACCGACATCTATTAATGCATCATCATTACCGAGAAAGAAAAAAAATGTTATTTGTTGCATTCCTTCATAAAGATGGCAATAAAAATATTAATGTAGCCAAAATGGAGCCACTTTCATGTCTGCAAAAATTAACTTACCTATCTCAGAACTGTACAGCAAATAAGGAAACAAAAATATAAAAAAAAACCAAAAACTAAATTACTAAGTAAATTGTGGAAATAAAACATCACATTTATGACAACAGAACAAGTGTCTGTATTCTTCAGATGGCTACAGACAGCAGAATAAACCATTTACTCTGTGACAGACATACAGTAGCTTCACCGAAGAAACTGAGCATAACATTAATTATTGTCATTATGTTACATCACTGGTTCCTACTGATAAGAACTGTATCCAAGATGTCCGAAGTACTTGGTTCCTCTTAACCTGCAACAACTATGCCCTCATAACAATTACTGTTAGAAAGTCTCCAAAGTCAAAGTTCGAGGTGGATGAAGTTACAGGTAGTAGGAAAGGGAACATTACGCCCATCTGGTATTTAAATTGTTTTAGTTGTTGAGGAACAAGAAAAGGAAATAAATGTAATAGGTTTTATACTTCCTCTGTATTAATTTGTCTGGAGCAAATTTATATTTAGGAATGTTTTGAAGAATAACTGTAAAAACAAAATATATGTGGTAACATGCAAAAGGTAATATAAAAGACTGACATAATCCTTAAATATTCAAATATTCAAAAAAACTTTCATCAAAGGGATAAGTTTCAATAGGTTCATTTAATAACATCAACTGCAACACACAACAAAAATAATGTCAAAATTGATTACAGCTGCCATCTTAGTTTATGAAGATTACATAGTTGTAATCAATTCTATTAATATGTTTATTTGTTGTATTTTACAGTATTTAATAAACCTAGTAAAATGGAATGCAATAGAACAAAATTAAACTTTAAAGTAAAACATTTGTTCAAAGTGGAATATGAATTTAAATATTTAATAACAATACTCATAACTACAAAATATGCAATGAGTACTAGGGGTCCTTTCCCTTAGGTCAAAGCACAGATGAGGTGTAACACTAACTACTCAACCCACCTACTGCCAACATCAAGAGCAAGAGCACCTCCATGGTATGAAGCAATACAGCTTAACTTTTTACATACATACAGACATACACAATAAGCTACAGTGATGCATACATATGGTAAATAGAGGGAGGTATATGGGTGATATTATCCAAAAGAAATAAGTTTTGTAAATAACGTGAATAAGGAGAAATACGATGAGTATAAGAGCCATATACGCTTACTAACAATGACTTATATCAAGATGTGAGATTTGAGGTTTCCATGACCAATCTCCAAAAGATCATCATTAATACAAAGTATTAATACCTCAATAGTTATCACACTACACAAGTAATCAAATGGTCCAAGAATTAACCCCTCAGACATTAAACACAACAACTAACACTACAGTGGCAACCAACTACTCACAACATTCTTAAATCAAACTCCCAAAACACAGTGTACATTATATATACCTCATTCAAAGGGAACTGTCCAACATAGTGTGCCAAAATTAACTAAGGTTTCAAAACTCCAGATATACGAAACTAATTGGAATATTGGGAGAGAGAAGACAAACTAATAAATTGTGTCCCAACAAAAACTCAAGACAATTACCTAATTAAAGTAGCATGTGAATGAAGGTCAGCACCTACAATTTACAGATATCTGAATGGTACAACATGGATATGGTGTCACCTAATACTGGGCCTGTTAAATTCAATCCAATCCTCAATACAAAAAATTACTTACGCAACCTTTGTTTTAATATAATTGCCTCATCTCTATCTCACTTTCCAAGTGGTCACTTTAATCACTGAAGTTTGTACGCAGTTGTTTGATCAGTCAAAGTTATGTGTCACGTCCATCGTAACTTTATTGTTTCTTCTGCTTTAGTAACATCTGGTGTGCATATAAATTACAATATTTATTATTATGCATGAATAATTTCCTCTATTCCTCCATATATTGGCGTGGCTTGTAACCCTACAGTCTTTCACAAACTTCCGTCACCGCAAAAGCTTCACTTTATGCGTCTTATATTACCCACACAGATATTTCATTCAATGGGATATAAAAAGATGATTCTTTTCTGGCAAGTAAGAAGTTGTCATTATATTGCTTTCCTTGTAGGTTACCATTATTACCATTATATAAACACTTTCACATAAGGCTCAATAAATATTTAATTAAATTTTAATGTATGCTAGATGTCTGTCCACATGGTTCAGATAAATTATTGGGCTGAACTGGCTTATATGCAAGGGAACAGGACTACACTAAATCTTGCATAAATTTTTCTAACCTATAATTCACATAACTTAACCTAACATTCTCATCCCTTGTCCTTTATGTCTGCCGTACCTTTCACCCAGACACAATACATGACAGTCTCTCTAAATTAAAGAGAGTGATTTTCAAAATGGATACCTAAAGGTAGTATTCAATTTCAAGGGCAATTTCTAAGCAACATCCAAGGATTTAGTATGTTTTAAAACTTTAAAAATGTTAAATCTAGACTGTCATTCTCTTACACAATTACCCACTTCATAAATATGGTTTTTAAAGTATTAAATTAATTTGAATTATTTACATGCAATTTTCCTTAAATCTTTTAGGTACCAACTGAAAGAACCTCAAAGTTTGGCAGACACAAAATTCTGCAGCACTGTGGCTAAAATGTAATGATTTCCCAAAAAATAAAAATAAAAATAAAAAAAAAAAATAAATATATATATATGAGACGTCCCTTAGGTTCTAAATAGAAAATCGCTCTCAGTCTTTAAGTTCATCTGTAAGAATTAAATGAAGAGTTCTTCTCAGCTGATGTTGGAAGCTGCCGGAGGGCTCTGTTGCCTTACCTGGTACACTTGTACCGAGAGCAACAAAGGCAATTGCGGTGATTGCATCCTTGAGGCCCACTGTACAACCAAAGTGAGATGCCACATCTCCAATGATGGCCGTGAGACAACCAATTCCACATATTGAGATAACGAAACATAAATAACCATCAAACATATCTGGGGAGTAGAAGATGAGAAAAAAATTCATCAGCTGAGTAAAACTTGGAAGAAAAGAATTGGAGGACAGGGCATAGTATAAAAGAGTCATTCATAGTGTTTAGATTATCAACATGCTGAGAGGAGTCAGTATAAATTCTGGTGCAGAAAATAATTGAAGATATGGAAAGAAAATGTATTGTAAATATACAGAGTGAATAATTTGACACTTCACTACAATGTGCTCACTTCAGAACAGTGTTACACCAGGTCTCCCCAGTGTTTCTTCGTCATTAGCCTCAGTTCAGTAGGCCTTGTATAAAATAAATTTTTGTTAACAGCAGTAGACAAATTTCATAACAGTTATATAAACAAGGGTATACAATACAACATTTAAAAACTGGTGCAGCTAATATAAATGAAAGAAATGAGAACAATAAAATCTATTATGATCTGGACATCGGCATGCAGATACTGAAATGCAGAAGAAATGGAAACTCCAGTTTACATGAGGATGGGTTCTAATACTGATTATATATTGCATAACCTAACACCAACATTAAATATGTGACTAAGACATTTATACGTTCTGCAATGAATAAGTATACAAAATTATCAATATCTGGAGCAATTCCATTAGGTATTTATAAAATACAATTGTGTAGTTCCTTTCACTGGAAAATACATAAAGTCTGAAGATGCTGTAACTAGAGACCCTCTCTAGCCAAAACATTCCTGTGATAAAGGATAATGACTTCCTACTTCAGCATTTTGAAATGTGTTTTGAGAGGCATATGAATTAAAAGTGGTTTTGGAAAGGATTACAAATTTAGCCATGCTGTTGGACAAGAATGTTCATAGGTTTTTGACTGAAAAGACATGTCATACACAGGTAACATTTCATACACAAATGTCATGTCTTCTGCCCAGTGCTTCGGTCCTGAAATGTCATTTATAAGGTACGGTGGCTGAATGGCTGAATAAAGAAAGTGGAAACAAAGAGCAATAGTGATAATAACAAAAAACAAGAAACATTAAGAAAGAGAAGGTGTGAGGTATTGAAGGCAGCACTATAACATTCCGAAATATGGCAAGCAGGCATTGGTTGTATTGCAAATAATTCTCTGAAGGTATCCATCTGTGCACCTAGATGTTGCTTACATACATTATGCTAGATGTACTAGGTTGAATACGACAGTAAGTTATCTAAAACACCAAAAGAAATAGACTTAGCAGAAGTAAAAGCATTATTACTATTACATATTCGAAAAAAAAGAAAACCTCTTACATTAAAAGTAGTTCAGCTTATTAACAACAATACCATTCCATCAAAAAAGTTCAAAGTGAAAATAAATTTTTAAATATAATATAAAAGCAGAGTTCAAGTAAACAACAAAAATTAGCTTCGCTGGTATCACTTCAATTATTATTAACAGTAAAATAAGATTATGAAGTTACTTGTCATTTGACAGCTTCAATGACAGAACATCTGTCCAGTAAGTGCAAGATTGGGTGTACACTTATTGACAATCAAGATTATATCATGTTATGATGGCATACAGAGACATAAACATAAAGCTCCACACATTCTGGACTTTGACATTAAATAGAGAATAGTGGCTAGCTTCATGTTCTGCCACTCTATTCCACATTCCCCTTTAAAGGAGGCCATTCTGGAGGCATGGAAGAAGGGAAAAATACCTGCATAAATCCAGGTTACTCTGCCCACCGTCAATCAATTATAATGGCTGGGTGTATTGTGTACTGTCTAGGACAAGCATATCTACAACACAGAGTACTTAATGACAGTAACAACAGTTACGTGTACGGCTGACCCAAGATTAAAGATGTGGTTCAAAAATTATGCTTTAACATTGTGCTGTGTTATACCAACGAAGCAATACTTTATGCTGTATTAAGACAGAAGAGAAGAGACATGAAATGAAGACAAAGCAGGTCTCAGGTGCTACCTGGAACACTGGTACCCAGTGCAACAAAAACGATGGCTGTTACAGAGTCCTTCATGCCGACCGAACATCCAAAGTGTGAGGCAACATCCCCGATGACCGCTGTCATCACACCGATCATGATGATACACACAAAGAAAGCGGCATAGCCTTTGCCAAGGGCTGCATATAACCAATATAAAAAACACTGTTATATTAATTATTACAACAACAATCAAATAATCACATAACACAGAGGATATTAAATATCACATTCATTACAACTGTCTAGTTATGGGGATGGTAGCCGTAACGATAAAATATGAGGCTTGACAGATTCTGTATGTGCTAAACAACTGCCCTGTAAAAAGTCACTGAGAATGCAAAGAACAGACCAATTAGTAGTTAATCTCAAGTATTTGTACATTCTTTGCATAAACTGCATAAAATAAACACACAATACAGTAGAAGTGCATGGCCATCAGTATGGATGGTATATTGAAACTAATGAATAAGTCTGGGTAAAATTGGTGATTGATGTTTATACTAAAAATTCTTGTGTGAAATTAATTATGATTTGGATCATCCCAGAATTAAATCATATTTTATAATAAATTCAAATCAGAATCATAATTCTTCCAAGGCCAGGACTGTTGTAAATACAACTGTTACATGACATGAAATGCACATCTCATTATGATATACAACTTTTAATTGAAATGCTTTTCAATATACAAAACAACCAATAAAACTAGTATAAATAAAATAGGACTATGTAGTGCAATCTGTAGAATAACTGATTTTTTATCTGCAATTAACAAACATTAAAAGTTGATTGAAATTGATGTAAATATAGGTCCTGCAATATTTTTAAACAGAAAATAATTTATTTAATATCAGAATGAAACTTTTACAAGTAACCAAACTGAAGTGAACTAGTATAGTATTCGAAGGTATTCTGTTCCAATCTGGCCACAGAATTAACTGAGCTATCGTTGGTTTTTCACGTCATTCCTTAGTTCCTTTAGACGAATGTCATTACAACGCATTCAAATAAGCCTCACTGCTTCTTCATAAATTCTTCCCTGTTCACCATTCACTATCCTCCTTATAATTTACAGCTATATAATCTTTGTAACTGATATTATATCATTACATAACATGGTAATTGAAATTAAAGAACAGCTTGTGAAACAAATGTGTTCTGAATATTTTTCTTAAACTGAGTACGTTAGTAATTAAAAAAAAATATTTGTGCGAACACTTGAATTGCGTGTTATTTGTTCCATAGAATGTGACATATACATTTATATACAGCATAAGAGGTTACGAGTGAAAATATTATAATAAGTGCATCTTACACCACACACAGAGAACATTGCTGTGAACAACCTTGGAAATTGTATTTTGCAAGGAATGAATTTGGAAATAAATAGCGAATTCATTTCTAGGAATGAAAGAAAATATAAAAACACATTCTGCTGGTGACAGTAAAGATCACATTACAATTTTACATTACTTGAAAAAATTGGTGCCACACTGTCTGAAAGAGAATTATTAGAACATTCAGAAATGTTGTACAGAGCACATAAATAACAACATACTACAAAGTAATAACCATCAACATGGTGTGCAATTCCTGAACTTTGTTTGAAAACAGTCAAGAGGGATCCCTGAAAATGGAGGAAGCACGTTCCTTCGAAACATTATTTTCAAGTCCACGCAGCATTTCAACCCAAAAGATGAGCATCAACATGTTCACCAATGTGAATACCTCAAATATCAAATAAGATCATATTTTTGTTTAACCCTTTAAAATCAAAGCCTGTCTGAATAATATTTGAGAAGTCAGTCTGTACCGCAAAGAAAACATGTCATTACAAAGAAGAATTGGTTTGTGCTGTTTTATGAAATAATCGCTGTTTACAATGTGAATCACATGAAACCCACAAATACACATTCAGCATAAATCAACTTAACACTTTCAAAATTATATTAAAAGAAAAACAAACACAGCATACTCTGAACTTCGCACCTACACCAGGCAATAGAAAAACTGAACTTGTAACAAGTAATAATAAAATTGTGGAATATATTTATGTTTTGGAGACAATAATTACACATCACAATAATATGTTTATCTTCTTCCATCCTATGAAGAAGGTGGCTCACTCAGAAGCACCTGCCATTTCTCGTTTCATATCTGATGTTATATTTTTTCAGTGAAAATAAATTCTTCTGTCATTTATTGACCACTGACTGTCTTGATGTGAAAGTCTGAAGCCATCTACAAGCTGTATGTGAATTTTCAGCAATGGAAATTATGAAGTACCACAGATATTTATATATAAAATAAGACATTTGTTTTCTAAACAAATATGGTATTAAAGTGATAATGTTGTGGTACAGTGGTGTGGTTTGTGATAAATTAATTATTTTTGTATGTATCTATGATTTCACACTGCTTATACGATAAACATGAACATAATGTACTTCAAAATTTAAATACTTACCACCTAATTTATTCTTGAAATTATTTCATTAATTTAGATTAATGAGTATTAAAACAGGTCAAGTGTTATGACATGAACTTCATGTTACTCAGGAGACACGAACAGGTTTAGCTGTTAACAAATCTTTACAGAAACAACAATAAAAGTCACCAAATGTTGTCTGGATAAATTTAAATAAAATTAATATCATGATGTATTAAAAGAACAGAATACCAGAACAGCAAGGTTAGAATATTGATACCAAATACAAAATTTGTTATTTTTCTTTACCTAACACGGCATTCATCAAGACAGACAATGCATAGGATAACTGAGATTTATTAAATGCAAGAAAGTGGATAATTATTTAGACTATTCCCTTAGACACTCACTATAATAAAGTAAAAATAGCAGCCCATAAAAACAAAGGTTAATTTCATAAGTAATTCCAATTTAACAATCTTATTCTCTTTATGCCTTCTGCGACTTATCCGATGCTTAAAAAAACTGCCATGTTTGCAACAAGAGCATTGTAGTGTATAATGAAGTAATGCAGTTTGCTCAGGTACATTAGAGATTAAAAATTTAACTCAGGACAAACATTCAAACTAAATTTTTTGATATGCTTATCGTTTCAGGAATCCAATTTACAGTTTTACCAGGAGATTTACAATTAAAATAATACAATATTATTATATTATATTAAATTATTAACATCAGACTCTGCTCAGTAGCGGGCTATCGTACAGGCATGCCACTTATAAAAACTATCTCACCTGTGGGTGGAACAAAGGCAAACAGCAGTTTCCAGAACAGAGTGACAAAGTGCATGATGTAGTCACCACAGGAGGGTAATTTTTCGTCATCATCATCACCACTGTCATCCCCTAGAAGGAAAGAAACATCAGCAATTCAAAAGCTTGAAAGAAAAGATGATCACATGAAGCGACTACGGACCGCGTTCTCATCTGTACAGTTAACGCAACTGCAGTAACGCAAGTGTAAAGACCTGTTACTTTATGATGATGCTTGGGTTTTGGCTGCACTGTAGACATGTTCGAGTCTGTGCACAGAAATGTATCATTCAATGGGCGTAACAATCAGTTTGCTGAGAGATGCGCAACAAAGTAGGTCATGTTTCAGGATTTTAACAATGTGTGATTAGCAATTATAAAAAATATATTCAGCTTTTACAAACTAATACATTTAATTTGAAACAGAAATAATTCGATTACATTAAAAAAGTTGATGTACACAGGTTCATTAAATTTTTTTAAGTAACTGAAGTGTGTATTTTGGTAATGAAAGATAAATATTTCCCACGCTCCACCACTGCCTCTCCTCTTGCTACCGACATCAGAGTTCCCTGTTGTATTTTTCCAATTTTTGCACTGGCAAATTGTCATCACAAAGTAACAGATCTGTAAACATGTGCACGCACACACATGTATTACATACCACGGATCCATTAAGTTAGAATACAACAGGGATGGATTATGTCTTAACAGCACAACACACATAAACAAGTGAAATTCATACTATTATAAAGATTTCACATAAAATAAGCAAAAGATTCACATAAAGTAGTAAAATGTTACAAATAAATCCACCTATTACGTCAGTACGCAAAACCCCCGGGCATTATAGACTTCTGCGGTGGATGAAGGTATGTGATGAGCTTCACGTTCCAGCCGATTTACCTCGAAGAAAGAGCTCACATGATCCTAATTGGTACGAATATGCGTGGTTGCGGAGCTAGTGTGTAATTTGCAACCGCAAGCTACTATAATCGACCATTACAACGGACATAAACACGCAAGACAGTGAGCGGGGTGTACTGTCGTTTGTAAATTACCAATAACCTTCCTAATATTACAAGATGGCGTGTGCTGGTAGGGCGCACATTACAAGGTACGCGAGCTACTTTATGTGACCTAATATTACCTCTGGGAGTTAGAGAACAAGATTTTGTACCTAAGACACGCATTCTGGTTTGTTGATTTTTAAAAAGATTAGGTAATTAGGTACTGTTCATGCGATGCTACACGAAACTACAAACATGCGAACGTTGGTTAGGTTTTGAACGCACGTGTTCCAATACCGTAAATTTTAATTGTTGCATAAATTTTATTTATTTGTGGTTTACTAAACGATGTTATAAGTTGTTCAGACCCTGTATCGTCGAATGATAGGATTAATGATTGGGGAAAAAATATGGAAAGAACGGTCGTGGCCTAATTTAAGGCGCTATTCTGGAATTTATCACAGAAGTCTCGATCACGATAGCAGGTTTCCGGGCCGACATTTGAACCTGGCACTCGGTAGTCACGTTCGGTCACGAGTTATCCATATCCAAACAAAATAGTTCTCAGCGCGAAGTTGCACGTGTCCGTTTCGTCAGAGTCAGAATATCGTACGCGCTCCAGCCATCGCGTAGGATTCTATCCGTACTGGCATTTGACCTTTTCCCTTTGAGAAAAATGGCGGAGGATCTGAACCATGAACACGGAGGCCATTGTTACGAGATATCAGAATGGCATTTGTCTAAAACTCTCCTTCTACAACAGGCTTAAAAGTTCATTCCCTGGTAATTTAATGACGTCGTCTCAATAACAAAAGTCCGTGGGAGTTAAGTAAATACCTGCGATGTAGTTAAAAGAGCCATTGCCAAAAACCTCCAGAGAATCTAAAAGGTTCGCTGTCCTACGCGGTATGTACTAGCTTAGCAGGGGTGAGAAATCACCACCGTTCAGAGTTCGTATCAGAAAGGCCTTAAATGCAAGTGATAATTTTAATGGCACTCTGAAAGGTGTAAAGGTCTGTCTGTTGAGATTTCGGGTATGTATGGTAAAAGTTTACAGACGTTTCGAAGGGGTTTGCTGCCTCTATCCCCAGGTCTATGACTAACAGAGTCATAAACATTATCCCACAAGGTCGAAGATCCCTTTACATCGTTACCCTGTCAAAAATTATAACAATGTGATCATAATACACACGCACAGTCACAAACATTTCTCGCCAGGTTGAAAATCCCTTACAGCATTAGATTATATAATAATATTACGCATAACAGAAACTCAAAGGACAAGACAACTTTCCTGTTGTTACAATTACAAGATGGTGAATGTAGACTCTTACCTGCACTGACTGTGATAGCTTCAATGAACTGCTCCTTCCAAGACGATGTTCCTATAAGAAGCGATGCGTTTGCTCTCTGGACAAGCTTGTCGACGGTATTCTGAAACAGAGGATGAATTTGGATGGAAAAGTTGTGCCGACCTACGTTAGGACAAGGAACGCCGCTGGTGCGTCGTTGTTCAATATTTTCCGAAGGCATTTAGCAAATCCCACTGGCCTACATGCTTCCGAATTTATCATAAAGCACAGAGCCTGAAATTTATTTTTCATTTATTTAGATAGATATTCACTACATCGAAAGATATTTCACACGCTGTCGACTTTAAATTCGATTTGGAGATCGAACACATGGTCGAATAAATACAACTGCGTACATTTCTAGTAACAAAGGCATAATGCGATGACTGCGTTGGGATATGCGTTCTGATCATGGTCTTGTCGATTAAGAAGATGACAGTTAATAATGAAATCGAAAGAATGTGGAGCGAAGCGGTCCTGACCTAATTTAAGGTACTATCTCGTCATCTGCTTGGAGAGATAGGGGAAAAAGCACGTAAAACAGAAGTCAGGATGGTTAGTCTCCGGGCCGCGATTTTAATCCGAGACCTGAGTTAACCATTCGACCTCGACGTTTGGTAAGGGGTTTTAAACACGGGCATTGAATCAATACATAAGCGACCGAAACGTCGGATTTTTGTAACGGATGAAACCTATTCGCTTGAATACATTCAATTTCGGATGTTTCACGTTTCAACATTTCGTAACATAGAGCCTAAATATGTCAAGATATGGGACTACGTGCTGTGATATTCTTTATGTAACAGACATATTGGATTCTGTTTCAGTATTCAATGAGATTTATGAAAATGGTTCAAGGCCTACAGCAACTTCCCTAGTTTAATAACGCTCGCTTAAGAACATCTCAGAGTTATGAACAAATTTCCACTGTTATGAACCCAAAACGTCACCCACTGACAGTTTATTTTCCTTTCGCTCAGGTGCGCCACTTCAGTGTCTGAGATGCAACCTTTACGTTGCTTGCCATTCGACTTCTTTGATGTTATGCTTCAGTTACTGCAAAATGTACTCACAAGTTCACGGACTAAAAGTATTTTAATTACACTATTGTTCCATTAAACCCATTCTGTTCCTAACGGGATGTTACTGAATGTCGTAATGAAAATGTGTATATTTATCGTAAGTTATTTTCAACACAAAGAGAGAAATTCCATTAAATTAACCAACATGTAAATGAATTTACTTGTACTGCAATCAGTATTGCAGAACGACCTTTATTTTCTTTGAGTTTTACATTAAACTGGTACCATTAAACCCTATAACCCAGCGGGCAAAACACCCACAAACGTGATGATGACACAGGATGTAACAGAGCGATTTCTGTACCACTGAATCGAGTGAAATCGGACAAATATATGATGCATTTCCAGGGCTCACTTCGACCTTATAATTGGAAGCTAATCTGCATGTACGTAAAGAAGCAGATGACCTGGAAATTAACGTGACCAATTCCAGCGTCACTCATGTTAGTGATAATGGGTTGCAGAAGCTGGACGTAGAAAGAGAATATCTATCAAACACGCAACGTAAAAACGACTGTCTGCTGTCAATCCTTGAGGCTAAACACACGAATCGAATGTCGACATCGCATGTCCACACATGAAAACGTGTCAATACATGAATAAAATACAGAAAACAGTACTCACTCAGCTAATCAAGAAACTTCTCGTCCTTTATGGAACACGAAGGTTCGTTAAGGGTGTGATTGTAAGAGCCTATCACCTGTGAATTTCCTGAGTCGGATTAATCCAGTCCACACCCTAACCTCCTCCCTTTTTAAATAACAATTACAATATTACTGGCGTAGCATGACCCAACAAGATTAATGGAAATGGATCTTTTTGTGTTGAAAGAATACTATTTATTGCTGCATTATCTTCGAACATCGCTGCTTTTCTTGTTTTTACATTGATAGGTCAATAATTGCGTATAGGAACTTTAACCTGATATAATCTTGTTTTGTAAACATCAATATTTTGAATGAACATTTAGAGATACTGTTTATAATTATTTAATTTCAATATATGTAACTTAGACTGCCTTCTGGGTCATCCTGATAATAGGAGCAGTAAGCACCTCCGAAACGTATGCCAATCGCTACCAGACTGCACGGCGTAACATCCCAGAAGACAGCCATCTTCATAATCGTGGCCGTGAGAACCTTATCTCTCACTCAGGATGTAATTTATTTGGGTTTCCCCGAAGTCTAAACTTATCTAAACTGAACACATCTTCCTCACCTTGAACTCTTTGCTCTCCTTGACTCGAATTTGTGCCCTTGTGATGTCTCCTAACCTGGGACGTCCCAGCAAAGCCATTTTCTCCTCCTCGGTCAGATCATCTCTGCGCTTACTTTCAGCAATGGCTGCCAGACCTGCCTCTTCTGGAAGCAACAACGGCACATCTCTCACATTGCACACCAGCGAATCACTTCATTTCAGTTCGATGAAGAGCTAATTAAGAAAACTTACAGTTATCACAAAGGATAACACACCAGTGACAACGCTAATATAAACAGGCATAATGTCCCCTTCATCGACATTAATTAGCAGTCAAATTCGAACAACACGAATGTCCTCATGGAATTACAGATATTTCGCGGGCTATTCGAACCCAGAACCTGACAGTCCAAACACGATTCTGCCCACGCCCAATAAAAAGTCGCAAACCCAATAACGAGCCACGGGCAACAAGAATGTCTAATTCATGAGTGACTTTGGTATCACAATTTTTTCGTCAGTATGGACAATCGCTAATTTTAAAGTGTTCAGACACGCCTATTGTGTCATCAAGCAGGTTTTAATAAAAGCGCCAGCTCACGTACTTCATAAATGTCGCACTAAATCCAAATAGTATCTGTGTATTACTTTATACATGTTCGGATAATTGTAGTTGACTCACAGCAATGATTTACAGCGAGACTCTTCACAAACCCAAATCCGCTTTTCCCCCAAAGTTCCCTACAAAAAGTAAAAACTGTCAGCCAGTTCCAGAGACCAAGCCGTCTTTGACTTCACCAGGAAAATGAGTCCTAAGGGTCACCGCTTGAACTAACCCGATTGGTGGGATCTCTCGTGTTGAGAGTTCAGTTCCTCCTTGTCGCGACTCATGAAGGGCACGCCATGGAGAACCGCCCTTCGCAGAGAAAGTTCTGGTTAATGAAGACGAATGATAATGTGGCGTAATGAAGAAGGATGGATATGAAAATGTAACTCCAGCAACGCAGTACAATCAAACTGAAAAACGATCCTACCTTCCAACAAACATCGCACAGACTACAGGCACGATTTAATCTGTGTGACAGTCTTCATGGTAAATAGAAATATTAAATTAAAGAAAGACAAGTCACGATAGAAATGGGATTGTCATTCTATTTAACTCGTCCCATTTGTGTTAAAGCTGTTAGGCTGGCAATTGCAAACGCGAACCTTCAGAAGACATGAGGCTATATTTTCGACCTATACCTCCACATACAACGACAGTAACCGTGTTAACAGATTGCACTGAAACCAACTAGTATTTAAACGGATCCTTTGTCACCACGTTCGGATGAAGAAGTAGGTTCCCATATATGGATGACACTTGCCAATTTATTGAACAAGCCGTCGCGGAAAGCAGACAAGGGGTGGTCCTCCAGGTACGTGGCGTAACAAGTCACCACGAAGGAAAAGAGGAATACGACAGGGTCTTGGGGTTGCAGCCCTCTGACGGAGACTTTTCTCATCAGGTGTGTGCCAACACCCAAAAGTGGGATCAACGAAATGCAGAATAATTTATATGCATCTTTACAGCTCTTTAGATTTGAACTTATGAGTCTGTGGAGTACATTATCTTTACTGTTATTAACTTTGTGAACAGGTTTGCTTACCTCCACTAAAGGAACAGAAAAACAGCTCGATAATGTAGCTGACTCGAGAAGTACATTAAGTTAAGTTATTTTTCCTCGAACTGAACTTCCATGTTACAGAATGCAAGGCCTGGCAAAATGCAACAAGATGGAAGTCAAGCGCACTCCGGAGGTCATGTTTGCAGTTTCTGTTCATTTAATTACCACTCATCGCCTGGACGCTGTCTCTTCATTAGCTTAAACAAACATCAAACTTGGTCCATTACTACAACAGAGATAAGCCCTCAAACCAAACTAAGAGGAAGCGATCGCGTCTCGTTTTAAGTAACTTGCCTCAATGTACGAGGGTAAAACAGCTGTGTCACCCAGTAACAAAACCGAAAATGCATATTTCGATTCGATACAAATATTCGTCGAGAATACAAACAAACGTAATCGATGGTCGCCAATGCCGAAAATGGCGAATAAGTTCATGGACTGACACTCGTAAAATCTGTGGAGAAAAACACAACAAGAGAAGAATCACACAGTGTCCCAAAAAAAAGACATAAACACGGCAGCAAAGTTGGCGACCGCTTGTCGATCAGCTGACAGCTGCCTCGTGGTCACTATTTAGCAGCTGACACTCGGGCATAACAAAACACCAGTTAACTCCATTCTGACAACAGAACAAGTAAAGAGCATGTTAAATAGCAGTGGACTCATGCAGTATGCACACAACTCGGGAGGAAAATCGTTTGAGGGACGAGTAAGTCTTTGAAACAAAATTAAAACAACTGACTGTCCAGTATTTTCACTTACAAAAGAGATCACATGTTGCGTCTCTGAACACACAAACCAATATTTACGCAAACCGGCAAATTTTTCTCAACTTTAGTGACGTTGCTAACTGTACACGTGTTGAAACGGCCGATATTCAAATTCTAATACCTTTCGCTACAAGGTCCATAATGGCTGTATTTCATCTGAAAGTAAAGTTCGGAGAAGAATATTTGAACCTAAGAAAGGTAAAGCGACAAGAAGATTAAATCAAACGAGGCGGGACAACATAAGGATAATATTAAACATTACATACTTATTTTTAAAGTTGTTGCATATTTTATGTGTGTAAAGGTACGTGGACAGTCTACTCACCATCTAGCATCCTGACTTCGCCGAGTTGCATGTAGAACAAGACGTCCTTCTCATAACTGTCTTCGTCTACGATGTTCAAAGGAATCGTCTGTCTGAAAACACAAATACAGCTTCGTCATCAAAATGTCTCTCTTCTGAAAACGTGAGACAACGATTGAAATGTCACACACCCCGAAACAAAATTTAAATGGCATCCTGAACGTTCTGAACATGGTAGCAGGTTTTGTGAGCAGAGGGCAGCATCCAGTGAACTCAAGAAGTGTAACACAGACTTAATTCCCTTGTTCGTCGGCGAAAAATACGGCTTGTGGATCATACGTGTGACAGAAATAACATAGAAATAAATCCCCCTCCCCATAACGTGCATAATAGGGCTCTTTGGCTGTTCTAGAAAACACACGTCTTCGTATACTGTAGGCTCCGAGTTGAAACCTCGGTCCGATAATGGATTTACTTATTCAATTTACGAGAACCCTCGTAAATTGACTTATGATAGGTCTTCTTCAACATCCATTCCGAAACACTGGTCATGACCACCCTGATATCCGACGCGAGTTCACATACGCAAATGAGAAAGTATTGTTTAATAACACAGAAACACAGACACAAATAACAAAAGGAGAAAAGATGAAGAAAGGAAACGAGGGAATAAAAATTAAGGAATACAAGGACGAAAGAAATAAAATAAGCCAATGGCTCCTGAATTAATAATTAGTAAACGTAGTCCAGTACATCATGTCCCTACACAACAATATATTTCACAAAATAAAATTCATAACAAACTTCTCTGTTAATAACTGAGTTTGTCTTTTATTTCTGAGTTACTAAAAAAGTTGA